ATGCCGCAAATACTCCATCTCCCACCCCACAACCTCCCTCCCTGCCCATAACGTTCCCCCGATCCACCCATCGAAATACATTCCTGCCATCCACTCCTCCCACTCCGCCTTCACGCAGATAAACCTCAGCTTCGCGTAGGCCTCCGCAATGGCCTCGTGTACGCCCGGTGGATATGCGTAAGGCTCACAACATCCACACAAAAAGTCACTCCAATCCTCAGTGCGGACAACACACGAATGCCCCGCGCTATCCATGTAGAGACCCCAGTAGCCGCAGCCTTGCTGGTCGCAAAGAAACCGGACAACATAGCCGCCCTTCCCACCATCCTGCTCCGGTGTGCACTTGAGTAGATCGCCAAGATGAATTCTACTACCACCCAGATACAGGCGTTCGATGAGGTCCTGCGTCCCGATGAACGTCGCAAAGCCGGCCGGCAGCGTCAAGCCCAAGCGTTCTGCATCAGCGACCAGTTTGCGCACTGCCTCTGGACTCGCGGCACTTCCTCTTGGCCAGCCATCGTGCTCTGCAGCGATCTCGGGGGTCTGAGCGGCTCTGAGCCCGAAGCCAGTGGAGGTCGCCGTTGAGATGCAGATATTCGAGGTTCGGGATCGTGCCCTTCTCTAACAGGCCCTTTTCAATCAGGTCTTTGTGGGTCCGGCGGTTCAGAGGATAGTCGGAGGGGAAGCGCGCGTGCATGGCGGCAGCGTGGTGTTTGTGCTTGAGGTGCGCGTCGAGCGCGGGGAGGGAGAGGGCGTGGCATTTAGTGTTTAGGAGGGCGAAATCTTCGATGCCGGAGGGGGGGATGTAGGATATGATGAGAAGGACGAGCTCGTTTGCGAGGAGGGAGAAGGACATCGTGGTTGAATGCAGAAAGTTTCAAATCAGCGCCGAAACCTTTGGATCCAAACACCTCCGATAGCCTATTTAGGAAATTTCCTGCAGTTCAGCAAAATAATCATCGACGGATTTGACACGCAAACTTGAAGACGAAAACCGGAGCGGAAGCGTGAGGGGAACACGGGGAACTCTGAAGAAACTCGATGCGGTTCATGTGTAACGGATAAAAATATGGTTTGTTGGTATACAATCAAAGAGGGGCATCAGCATGACGTCACGTCGCAATCTTCATAAAACGACCGTGTTCGCAAGGAGCCTCAAGGCTTTAACGTTTTAACTCCCGCCAATCTTTTTGGCGCACACCACTGCAGAAGGCCAACAGCCTGTGTAGTTCTTCCAGCACCTGCGCCATTTTCCCTCATCTCGCCGACAAATTACAATGGAAGGTCCCGACCCATCCCACCCGACAACGGAGGGTCCCGACCCAACGATGGAAGATCCCGACCAATCCCACAGCGCCGAGGAGCAGGTGGCTGAAGCGGCGCGCGCAGCCTCGCAGGCGCAAAAACTCGCAGACGACCTGAAAGCGCGCGCACTGGCAGCCGAGGACCCGGAGACGAACGCGCGACTGCTGACAGAGGCGAAAGCCAAAGAGGTCGAGGCGCGCAAGCTCAGCCGGAGAGCGCATCGTCTGGCCAGCGGGGCGTGGCAGGGCGGAGCGCAGGGCGCCGGCGTGGGCGCCGTGGTCGGGGTCGGGCTGGGCGCGGCAGTGGGAACACTTGTGGGGGCAATTGCGAGTGTTCCGACTACGGGCTTAGGGTTCCTTGTGGGTGTACCTGTTGGGTGGATTCATGGGCCGTGGGTTGGGGGTGAGAAGAAGGAGGATAAGGATAAGGAACCGCAGGGGGAGGGAGCGGAGGACGGCGAAGCGAGGGAGGTAAGTCAATCGAAAGGGATGGATGAAGCGGATGATTCGGATGAGATGATGTCGGACGAGAAGACTCATCGGGCCATTCTCGAAGCCATTGAGGCTCAGGACAAGCTGGGGCAGCAAACACATGAGAATGCGCAAGAACCGGCAGCATCTAACATCAAGGAGCCTCAGTCACAGCTCGAGCAGAACGAAGACGGAGGGCAGATCGCGGCGGAGAAGCCAGACGAACAGGAAGGGGAGCACGCGAAGAATCGTGAGCAAGACGGAAAGTAATAGCGATGTACAACCGGAGACAAAGGCCTCCGAGAAAGACGGTGATTCGAGGACCTGACGACCTAGCGCATTTCGATTCTGCTCAGTTGATGTATGTATAAGACGTCTGGCGCTTCGAATTACATTGTAACTTGAAAGCTGACGCCAATGGATTGGTCTGCAACAAAAGGAACGAAGTAAGTCGTCAGCGAGGGAATGCGAAATAAGAGTACACGGAAAGCACTTGAACACGAGGAACGACTCGGAGAACGCAATGTAGCGTTTTCGGAATAGAACAGACGAAGACAAGGAGTAACCAACCACTCGTGGACCTGCGGCCCCACAAGACATATCCAGAGAAAAAACACTGGAGGATAGGCGACAAGAAGAATAAGGAACAGATCCACCGGTGGGTGATGGATTCACCTCTTCCTCCAAATGCAATTTGCTGGGTTTTGAGCGCGTTTCTCGCACGAGAGTGAAAAACCGGGAAGAGATGACGAACTGGGCCCGGGGTGCCAAAGACGCGCTACAACAACGCCCGCCGACGCGCGTGCGACAAACTCTTCCGATGTAAGCCAGTCAGCCAACAGTCAGCTTCGCAAAGGTACCAAGGACTTGAAATTGAGTCGTTCATTCAGTGGATGCAGGCTGCGGAAGAACTTTCGACCGTCTCGTACGCGAGTCCGAGTCGTGTTTGTTGCTCTCGAAGCCAATTAAGTCTTCTGCGCATGCGTAGAGCGTTAGAAGATTCGAAGGAAGAGGAGGGACGAGGGCGCGAGGAGCAATCGCGTGGGTCACATACACGTGCCCCTGGTCACGTAACTCCCTCCTCTCCCTCTCGCCACTCGGAAGGAATCTGCTGCTGCCTTCAAATATGCGATTTCCAGCCGGTTCATTGATTCTCTGGAATACACACTCCGAGCTTACAACTAGCCACAGTGTCCCAAATCCCCATCGAAATATGGCACGAAATAGCGGCGCACAATGCGGATGATAGGCCTTCCCTCTTTGCCATGGCCCTGGTATCCACAGCACTGCACTTCTCGGCCATCGAACAGCTATTTTCCTCTGTATGCTTTTCATGTGATCAAGACATCTCTTGGTGGAACACCATGGTTGAACGGACGCCGCGACTTCAGACCATCGTCAGGACGGTCACCTTCTCCGGCTATCCTCGCAGCGGGTGGGCACAGTCTCCCAAGAGACTACGCGAAGCTGTGGTTCCACCCCAAATACTCCCAATGCCCAACGTCCGCATCGTCCAGTGGAACGCCTCTTCAATCGATATCTCAATGGCGGTCCAGCACCTGGCTTTGTTCCCTAACATGAAGGAACTTCATCTCAGTAACATGAAATTCAACAGCTTCGATGATATTGCCAGGCTGCTTGGAGCATGTGGACCGCTCAGAGTCCTCTCGTTCCGCGACACAGACCGTGTAGAGGATTCGGACTCTGATTCCGACTTTGAAATACCTCGAGCTGTTCAACCAGCCAATACGCCCTGGACACTTGATCTCACCGCCATTGAGGAGCTGACCTTTATTGACTGTGGTCCTGAGGATGTCTTCCTCTTCGGACTCATGGAAAACTCATGGCCCGCCCGCCTAAAGTCATTGACTTTCGACGGCGAGTATCGATGTTCCGGGCCTGAAATGGAGAAATTCCTGCGACTCGTGGCACCTTCTCTCGTCAATCTGGCGGTGTATTCACATCCCGAACGTGACGGTGAGCAATGGATGATTGTCCGCAATTCCCACCTCTCATGACATTTGCAGAAGAACTTCAGGTCGTGGAAATGTTCAAACGCCTGCCAGCATTTCCAGCCCTCAATACGCTCTCACTCTCGCTCGATGCTGGCAGCCATGCTGAAGCAGCGATAACTGTGTTGGGCTCTGCTCCCCTGCTTTCTACTATTATCTTACAGATCCCATTACTTAACGAGGACGAAGAAGATGACCGCGAATATTTCCGCGAAATAATTGGCTCCGCCTTTCCGTGGCGCAAGCGCGAGTCAATGAAGTGCGCGGTAACAAAAAAGTTCCCCTTGATTCGACGGATTGTGTTCCACTTCAGGGTTCCGGACAATTCACCCATACACTTCCGACGTGGTTTACGGAGATGGATGGAACGCCAGTTGAGCGAGCGTTTGGAGGAAACCAGGGAAGATCTGACAGAATATCTCAAAGTGGGATGGTTCGACTACGATCTTAACCCTGTTGAGTACAGCAAAACGACCGGGAAACCGCAGTGGAAGCTTCGCAATCTTCCTGAGCCCGATACTGAATCCAGTGAGTACGAATCAGAGAGCTGGGATGATGATGGATCGGAGAATTATGACGATTGGTGGTAGGTGTTTTCATCGTTTCCGAAACATAGATTACTGACGGCCGGCCAGATGCAATAAAAACAGTGGGCATCGGGAGCCGGACCGCCGGTGCAACTGTGGCGATGGAGGAATTGGTGCAGTGTGCTCGTATGTAGACCGAATAACCTTTGGATATCGGTTTTGTTCCATTTTTCTGTGTTGCGATATTTCAGATGTATGCACCGGGAAATTCCAGAGTTATGCGCGGTATGCGAGTTCAATTCGGTTTCTACTGTTACGTGTGACATCACTAGCATGCTTTGGCGCGTCGCCAACACGTCGCGTCGTGTCGGGTCGGAATCCGGTGTTCAACTCGTTCCCTAACCCCATTCGTTGACGGATCAAGAATATCAAGCCAAAAATGGTATCTCGAGAAGGCGCCGAGGAACCGAGTCTGAATCCCTTTCTTGAATCCCTCTCTTCGGACAAATCGGTCGGTCGTCCCAAAATCCCAGCATTCTTAGGCTCACATGCAAGAAATTGCATTCATGTTCTTTTTGCCAGTGAGAGCCGTTACGTGCTTTTAACAAACGGCCTTTCCTCTAAGCCACCCCCATCGTTTCCAGAAACACCTCCATCTACAGTACGCCTCGGAGCATGTTTTCAACGCCGCCCTGGTTCAGTGGTTATCACCCCATTGACAGATCACTTCAATTCTGAGGTGTTCGAAGGTTCGATTCCTTGGGTGGCACGGTGTTTAAAAGCGGTAATGCTGGCGCCCCTAAATATTGACAATTGCTTGCAGTCATAAGTCTTTACCTAGGAACAAAACCGCGAGTGGATACGTCGCAGTGTCTGGTCCCCTCATTTTTCGATTTTGCTGCGAGAAGTCTTTAATTTTTGTGGGGCATATAAGCAGCTCATATGTATTGGTCACCAGTTCCGCAGTTGAAATTCGTGTTGTCATCTCAAAAAAATCATAAAAAATCATGTACTACTCCTTCAACACCAACCCCTCGTCCGCATACTTGGCCGCCCGGATGCCCTCAGCCCACGCTACAGCATCTGTGCGGCCCTTTGGGATGTCCACGGCAAACCAGATAACGATCGACGCGGAGGCGCAGAGTGCAAACAGGAAGGGGAAGCCTGTCGTTTACGTGTTAGCCTCGAGTAGATTGATTACGGAAAAATATTTTGCGCACCCATCCAGTTATTCCCGGTCGAGTCGATGATCGCCTGGATCACGTTGGGCCCAATCATCGAGCTGGCGCGGTTCGAGAGGCCAAAGAGGCCGAAGAACTGGGAGGACGATCAATCTGGATATAGGCACGTCTGATGGAGACCGACCATGTTATCGAAGCCCGGCGGGGTCAACTCGGCCATCATAGTCTGCGAGAAGGCGTAGTAGGGGGCTTGGAAGAGTCCGAATACTATGTTGTAAGCCCTAAGGGTTGTTGTTAGTACAGTGGATTGGATGCGATAGGTTATAGAGACGCACCAGAATTCCCACTTATTGTGGAATCTTGAATTCGCGTATTCAGGATAAGGTCGTCGTCAGCAGTGAAAGAGCGGTACGAACCCAAGTTTCTGAGTCCATATTCCGATCATACCTGGAAACCCGTGAGTAAGAGCAAGGAATCAATGCAGAATCCACCGTACCCCAAAGCGGGATCATAATCGTGAAGACGTTGGTCACGACGAACTATGAGACAGAATCAGTTCCAGCACTTTCGATGCTGGGAGCGACAGTATGTACCATCTTCTTGGTCGGAATCTTCCAGTATTTCTGGATGTACCAAAAACCAAGTGTGCTCATCGTCGACCTACGCGTCGATACTCGCTCAGATTTCCGTTCATACAAACCGGGTGCACAGGACTTACGTTATCGCTTGCGAGAGGCCGAGATAGGTGTTCTGGGGTTCATTGAGATTACAAACGAAATGAAAGTATTTGTGACTTGGCTCACCTGCAAAAAGCTGAACGAGAACTTATCGTTCTGGCAAATAGAAACCAGCGTGCCAGTGGTATTTAGACCCTGTATCAAATCAGCGTGCACCGATAATCCCGAGGGAAAGGAACGCACGTCCGCGAGAAGGAAGAACGAAAAGAGGTAGATGAAGGTGTATGGAAGTTGTTTATATTGCTTGCATGCGGCCCAAATCTGCTTCCAGCCGATCGTGATGTACCGCTCGCCTTTGGGGAGGGGGGGACCGGGGCGAGGTTGCTGGAAGATGACTGTTTCGAGGTAAGCGCGGAAGATGGGAGTCGGGGAATTGCGTACACCACCAAATGCCTGTGAGGACCCAGTAGGCGTTCGTCCTAGGGATAATAACTAAGTATTGTATTGGGGAAGAAAGAACAGATAAACGAACAAGACAATGGTATAGTTATTGACCTTCGAATTGGAGGCCAACGGGAGGAGGATCGACAAATTTAGGCACAATGTTGCTATGTAGCCTATGTTGCTGTGCGCAGTGCTGATGTTGCTAATGAGGTTCTTCTCCATGCTCTCCTCGCGCTCGTACACCTCCTTACTTGTCTCTCCGGCCTCAAACTTCTCGCGGATTTCTTTCGCGTGCGGCGTGTTGCGCGCGAGGCGAGGGAAGAGGGCGGCGTAAAACACAAGAGTCGCTCCGTACGAAATGAAACCTATTGTTCATTTAGAGAAAAGAAAATGAAGCTAAGATTGTCATTACTTACCTATCATATACAAGGCCATGGCAGCGCCCCATCGCGAGGGTTCTATGGTCAGATGAGCGTCGGTGCGGGTAGTTTTGTCGGTGCCACTTGCCCGTAAGAGACATGCTCGCGAATTGGGCACCCCAACAAATAATGGTCACGACGAAAAGCAGCCAGCGGCCAAAGTTGCCATAGTCTGAGGAAATGTAAATCATGGGTCATTCCAAGTGCTGGCGTGCCATACCAGCCGCGCTCCCGATTGTGGTGAATATCGCGGTCATAATCTGATGGTACGGATGAGATGCGGCTTGACCGACTGATTAGAAACTTACAGCGAAACTGATACCATTCGCGACAAGCACTACGCTGGTAACGGATTTTGTTCCATTGCCCCAGGGAAGAACACATTGGCCTGACGAGCCGGCGGCGGAGCAGGCGGAGCCAACACCGGCAACTGGGTCATAGCCGGCTGCGAACGCCAGGGACTGAAAGAGCGTCATGGAATATCCGTTGGGGCCAACACCCTGATAATGCATTAAGTTTGGCGACAAGATAATTTACTTGGACAATCCTAACGTTATCTCCGTTGTAATACACTGGTCGCAATGATATAGCGCGTCTTCAGAACAGAATGAACGCGACACTCACGATAATAGCTCCATAGCTCTCTGCGTGTCACCACCGGTTCATCCTTGCTAATTGAGCTCACAAACAGAGGCCGCTTGGTCGGAGGGGGTGTTGCGGGCTGATCAGACTCCTTGTATTCGTCCGAGTGCCTGGGATCTACCACAGGCTCTGCTTCGAGTACAGGGTTTACTGGAGCGGGCAAGCGGGACATGATGGCGGGAGGAAGCAAGTTCCACAGGTGTTCTGAAGCCGAAGGTCTGGTGACCCAACTCACCAGTTAGGCGAGCAGGGACACGGAGCTGGCTCCCATTGATTCAGATAAGGGCCTAAGTATAAGGCCATCCTGTGGATTCCGTCTTGTTATCTAGCAGATACGACACATGCGACCATTATTTATCCTGAGTCTTGAAAATGTAAGTAGTCGGAGAGCGGCGTGCCGGTCCGCAAGCGTCGGCGAAATCGGCCCGGGGTGCCCACATGTAGTCACTAAGCTTACAGCCGCAGACGACCATGTCCCCCACTGAACAAAAGAATTACCACCTTCAATGTACTGGCGCAGCTCTGGAGACCGTCAAGCAGCATGAGACACCTCAAGATATCACCCTTTTTGGGAGTTGTTTTTGCCCATTCGTTCAACGAGTTTGGGTTGCACTGGAGTACCTCGACATCCCGTACCAGGTAAGATCCCCTCCCACTTTCTAATTTTGACTCACAGAATGCCTAGTATTGTGGGTGGATTTTTTCGCCCACTTGTCGCGAGTAAATCGACTTTTTCCGCAGATGAAGTCGACCCGTACAAAAAGCCCGCCGATTTACTCGAGGTTTCGCCCAAGGGTCTTGTTCCTGGCCTCAAACTGCATAAATACACCCCTGCGCGTGGTTTGAATGAAAGCACTGTTATTCTCGAATACTTGGAGGAGTGGGTCCTTTCGGAGTTTGGAAGATCTAGACGATGGTAACTCCTCACCGTGACAGCATTGCCGCGAACACGACGAAACGAAGCCTGCTACCGACCGACCCTTGTTTGTATTATTTCATCACATTCCCAGACCTGTAACTGATTATTTACCAGATGCACGAGCCCTCGTCCGCCTCCAGTCTGATCACATTGCGCGGTCCCTTGTTCCCGCCTTCTATCGCTTCCTCCAGGCGCAGGATGAAAGTGCCCAGATCGAATATGGCAAAGAGTTTCGTAGTGGACTCGAGGCTCTGGCTGCTCTATTCGAGCGAGCGGAGCACGACATCGTGCAGGGCGGAGGTGCTGCTGGTGTCGGAGAGCAAAAGGCTCTCAGTGCTGGCCTTGGCCTTTGGCTTGAAGGGGGCGATCTCAGCTTGAGCGACGTCATGATCGGCCCATGTATCCCGGACGTTCGTCTAGCAGTCGCTGTGCTGATATACATTTATTTTCAGGGATTTTCAGGGCGAGCAACGTTCTCAAGCACTACCGAGGGTTCGAACTCCCAACCGGCGACAAATTCGGAGCTTGGATCACCCGTCTCTTTGCCCATCCCGCCTTCAAAGCCACCTGCAGCACCGAAGAGCTGTACCTCGACAGTTACGAGAGGTAAGCCACACCTCACACCGTTCTACCTACATCTGATTGTGATGAAATTCAGATACGCACAGAATCGACCCAACACCAGCCAAGTCGCCAATGCGATCAACGCTGGGAAGCCTTTGCCGTGAGTCGTTGCTGAGCAATGTAAATGTACATTTGTACCACCATGTACGGAATCTTTTCTTCAAATACAGGAATCATTACACAAAGAAATTCTGCACCTGAGTCGCATCCAAAAAATCCGCCCATGAACGAGGTTTGCGTGCCAACAGGGTTTCGCTCGTGATTTCCTTGCCTCCATAATCTACAGAAAAACATCAGCTCTTGGACTATCTGAGAGCGGAAATACTTGCATCCATGGGCCCCAAACGCCTCGAACATATCTGAAAGCATGGGTCCAAAATCGGGCATCCCTGTCGCTTCGATGAACGTCTCTCTGTCCATTTCCACGTATGTGATTTTCTTCCCAGAGACTGGAAACTCGATTAATGATTGAACAGCGTGCAGAGAGAACCTTTGGCCGACCTTTCGCCAATTGTGCAACTATCTCTCCGAACGAAATCAGCTTTCCAGACCGCACCTCCGAGCCGGCCCCAAGCGTAGGGTTCTCGATCGCAGCGCGCACGTATAAGCCGAAGTCGTACGCCACGTCGATGAGCGGAACTTGTGTGCTTGCAGGCACGGGCAGGCCAAACACGTAGCTCCCGTCCGCCTGTTTCTTGAGCGCGTACGATGCCTCGAAGACATTGGACGCGTAGTACCCGGCCTGCACCACGGACAAGGGAATCTTTGAACTCTTCGCGTATTCCGTTATCTCGTGCTTGGCCTCGAAGAACCCGACACTCGAGTATTTCCCGCCAGAATTTGCGCTGAGCGACTCGAGCGCG